CTTGTCAATTTGTCAAGGACAAGAACATAATAAAGATAAATAAACAAGTGAGACTTCTTTCAAAAAAATATGACAAAATAGAAATAACTTGATATATATATTAAAAAAGGAACTGGAATGGCTATTGTCAAAATACAAGAAAATTAGAGACCCTTGAAACTAGACTGGAAGCAAAAATGGAGTTGACAAGAATAAAGAAGACTTCACTCTTGTCTCTATATATACTATCTAACTAAGAGCTACGTAGGGACGTTCTATAGGACCTTCAATATGTGTTGACTTTGTAGGATATATGCCTTGACTTACAAGACAAGTTTTTCTACGTGTGGGTCACATAGTTAGCTTGGTCTTCAAGCTAACAACATATGTGGCACATGGCCAACTCGTTGATCACGTTTCTAATCCAAAAAGTGAATTAAAGACACCTACGAAATCAAAATATTATCTATGAAGCTTCTAAGAAGCTTACATATCAAATACTATAGAATTAACTTATTTTTATCTACTTTTACTTACTTCTACCTATTTTCATATGTAATTACTGGCTTACATGAGTATGTCCATGATAGAACTACTATCATTACTTGGCTTATTTCAGTTCAATCTAATCTTTACTCATGATGCATTTCAAATAATCAATTATTACATATAATGGCTTGAATAATAAATTATTTTAAAGATTTTACTTTTAATATTATCAATAACAAATCTTTGATATTATCTTTCAACTTAAATTAAAATTAATTGATAAAGGCTTTGCTATTCTAATCCACATCTTCAACAAGGTTTTAGAATTCAAGAGCATATATGCTAGTTGACTATGATTCTTGTCATAAAGATAAGAGCTTAATCTTTGTTAATCTTTCTCAATCACTTTTTCTAAATGTGATTGTAAATACTTCTAGGAATGAATTTAAATCATAAAAAAATTGTAATAATAATCTTTTTTTATTAATGGTATAAATCAAAAGAAGTACTTTTAGATAGAAGTGTACTTATGAATCCAATTTAAATAAATCCATTGAGATATTGGAAGAAATGCAACCTTAAATAGAGCTTAACTTGTTCCAAAAATCTTTAAAATTTTGTTCTTGTTCCATCAATCTTATCGAGTATAATAATCTATATTTCCATCATAGTTGTAGAAGCAAAACTTCCTACATTTGATTATGAGATCAATCTATTTTCTTCCTTCAATTGCATAACTTCTTATCATAGATTTTGAAATTTTTTCATAAGCATAAGATCAGTATTTCCATGGTTGGTACTGGTAATACATGAAATTTCCATTCTAGGAGTATTAATAAGTTTATAAAGATTTGCAATAGTTGCAAATCTATTCTCACTTCCACCAATTGTAGCATCTATAATTTTTCCTTCCATTTCAAACAACATAACAAATTCATAAGTCAAATTAGATGAAGATAATCTACAACTTTTAATATCAAATGAAAATTTCTACAAAGATAAATAATCTTCTTTCTTTAAATAAAAAATAATAATAATATAAAATTAAATAATTTATTTAAAAATAGATAATTCTCAACTTTCAAAATATAACAATAGAAGTAGAGTAATCCATTCTTTTTTAAAACAAGACAAGAATAATAAATTAGCATTCTTATCAAACTAATAAGGATATAAATATCGAAGAAAAAAATCCTCAATATACTTAAGTATTATTCAAAAGAACTATAAAGTCACTCAAAGATGATATAGTATTAAACTATAATAGCTATTGCCAAAGAAAAGAAGTCTAGAAAGTCTTGAAATAAGATTAAGGACTAAAAAAGCATTGACAAGAGGGAAAAGGCTTCACTCTTGCCTCCATATATATTCTTAACTAGGAGCTACTTGGCCACGTTCTATAAGACCTCTAATATGTGTTGACTTTGTAGGACACATGCCTTGACTTACAAGGCAAGTTTTTCTATGTGTGGGCCACATAATTAGCTTGGTCTTCAAGCTAACAACATGTGTGGCACATAGCCAACTTGTTGACCACGTTTTTAATCCAAAAAGTTAATTAAAGTCACCTATAAAATCAAAGCAGTATCTATAAAGCTTCTAGAAAGCTTCCATATCAAATACTATAGAATTAACTTACTTTTACCTACTTTTATTTATTTCTATCTATTTACATATGTAATTATTGGCTTACATGTGTATGTCCATGACAGGTGGTCTATGTCTTTTTTGCTCATTAGGACAGGTTTTTCAAAATTCTATACCTCTAAACTTCATAAGATTCATTTCCAATGTATAAAAAATGCAATGAGAGATGGTTATTTTTTCTTGACCTAGGAAGAAATGACTTAGTTTGCCTTAAAAATGAAGAAATTAGTCCTTAGATTGCTAATTTCTACATCCTCACAAATTATTAGCAGTTGTTGCTTTTGAGTATATTTTTTCCAACAATAAAGGATGAATGCATTGGCTACTTTAGAATAACCAATGATATTCTATTAGTTGTAGTATGGGAGGTTCAAAATGGCATTTAATATAATTAAGAAAAAATTATATATGAGATTTGCTTACTTCTAACAATCCCTTAATATTTGATATTTTTTATATTTTTCTACTTATAATTAGTATTAAATTTAGAAGATACTATAGTACATTGATTCTAACATTGTGTTTGGATGGTTCAAATTTTTGTGGAGACCAAAGAAGAGGCCCCTATTATTATTCAATAGGCAGATTAGCACCTTTGCAAAGGATCCCAAGAAGTTCCAATGGTCCTTCTCAAAAGGTCTTTTGTTGCCCCTCGACTATTCTACAAAATTAGGACAAGAACTATTGTAGAAAAAGCATATCATTTCCAACTCGGTTGTAAGAATGTGGTTGAAAATATTTTCCAATGACTATATACTCTAATAGAAAATGGTGTAGGTGGAGAACCAAATCAACAAAGAATCTAATCTCTTATAGTTACTATAATATTATTCAATTTTGGTCAATGCATGGAAAGACCAAATTAACCATATTATTACCTTTAATTGTCCCATCTACCTATGAAGACCATACAAATTGGTACTATATCAATTCTACGAATATTCTTTAATTTGACTTCTATAGCAATGGTACATTCATACACTAAATATGTTAATCCTTAGCTTGAGCACTTCTGGCCCATAGTAGCCTCTCTCTTGGTGCCAAGGAATTTTTTAGAAATAATTTTTCATAAATTCAATCAATTTAGTCTTATTTGGATACAAATCAAAACAATAAATCTTTTGACAGTATAAAATGAACAAAAAAATGTTATATTTTATGCCATCAAGTAGAATCCAAGTAACCTATTGCAATGTATGTGGCTTGGAATTATCAACTATGGTAGGGTGGAATGGTCAATTGTTTGTAAAACTCAAAAATCTAGAGTAGTGCTTAGTCCCAAGCTGATGCAACATTTTGAAAAATGGTTTTCTTCTCAAGGCTCTTTTTCTTAAATGATAAATAGAAAATTACAATGGATACTTTCAAACCCGATTGAGGGATTTACTTTCAAACGATTGCACTAGGTGTCCAACCTCTTGACAAATATCAATAATCTTGTGTTGACCTCAAGTTGCCTTGAGTCAATTTGGTTTAGAGTGGTAGTTGTTGTCTTAATCCATCTAGTGTAGAATTGTAGTTGTGGTCCATTGTTGATTCACTCTTTTTGCAGTTGTAACTTTGGCTCTTTATGGTAATGTTCTCTTTGTATGTTTTTAATTAAAAATAAATTCTAACAAATTACCAAATGTTTATAGTGCTATCTGCAATCGATTATCATAACATCTATTTGTTTTAAAATAGTTCTCCAAACATTAAACATGACTCAATTCCCTAATAAATTTGATCCACATAGTCAAACCATTATCAATCACTTGCAACTCAGAGTATTAACCAAACCATTACTTCTTAATGACTTATCATCCATCAATACAAAAATCATGCTGTTAGTCAACTATGCTAATAATACTTGCACCATCCTTCATTTTCTTTGGCTCACTTTCATGTTCTGCTGATCCATTAGTAACCTATTTTCATGTCAGATGCGTATTGCTTGTTCATACAATTGCAAATGTAGGTGAAACGGACTTGAGATACATAAACTACGAAGTTATCAACAATTGGAAGAAAGCAGAGAACGCGATGTGCTATGACAACCAAGACTTAGAACAAAATCTAAGCCCACACGTTCTATCCTACTGGTCAAAACAAAGCGATTGTCCCGTCAGATTTTATGATAATCAGCTGTAGATAGCTCTATGCACATTCAGTAAAAATGCCGATTGTCTGCAAAATATTGGGCTAAAAGCCTGTTTTCGGTACCATTGATGGATCAACAATTCAGGGAAAGCTGGAGGTCTCTAAGCATAGCTTATTAGATACTTGGAAGGGTACCACCAATGTCTATACATAACGAGATATCCGTAAAGGCCTACCCTCTGGCCATCGGAGGTAGCCAAGCCATGAAATTGAGCAGACTCCACAGCCCACTTAAGTAATTCTTCTTGTCATTTGCTTACTACAAAATCCTGATTTTCTAGATTTGTTACCAACCATCATCAGAAGAAACAACAGGAAAAGAAAAATGGTGAAATCATCACAGTTGATTGTAAATGTTTTTGACACATAATCACGAAACGACACACAACATATAATCTGCACTCCAAGATCCAACATCAATACGGGTCGCCTTGATATTCTATGAACTTCCAATAGACAGCTGCATAGAAATCATCAAAACAAAATTATCAACCTGATACACATCACCCGTTAGCAGCTTAACATGTACCCGACTTGGTTCAACATTTGCAGCGGATTGATCAAACCCTTTAGGTGTAAAAGTAGTAATAATCCTTCAATAAAAGGAAATTTTAGGGAAGTTTACCTAGAAGAATTAGACCTTTGAGGTTTAGCAATGTGTGATTTGTATGCCACTTTTGTACAGGTAAATATCGTGGGGAGATCAGTCTGCCACTCGGGAAACGAGAGAAACATAACCACTAATGTGCTGGAACACGAAATACTTACGATCTTGATGAGCAACATCATTATCGGTTGACGACGAATATATTATTCAACCATCAGTCGACGGAAAATAGATTGAAATACGAACCTAGCTAAAATTTTAGAATGAGCAAAACTTAATCCTGAACATGGTCCCACTAGTCCTTAAAATCTACATCTGCACAAACGAATGCCCCAAGAGAAACTGCTCGGGCAGCAACAAAACTATTCATAACATATGATTGATGAGAAAATTGCTCCATGAAGAATGGATGATGTGCCTACTCGAACCTTTATGATATTTCCCTAAAAATGGGAGACATAATTACCGAAATATTTACAGGCTCTAATGTTGATCTCTAATTTTTCGACTCTCCAACAATTTTCAATCTCAGGTCATGTTGGTGAAGACCTGACGATTCAGTCTCGCTATAATACTCACCTTGTAGATTACAACCTTCTGGACAAAATTTGTTACTGCACTTTCCTCCGAACATCGACGGCAACGAGGTCAACTCGAAATGTTCCTGCAATGCATAAAGTTAAGTGAGATATGTGAGTGATGAGCTGGTATCTCCTCCCAAGCTGAATAGCTAAGTAGTTCAGAACATCATTTGGAGAAATTGAAAAACTGTCTGATGGTTATATTGCTGAGAAATGACTTTTTACCTCTAGAGCATGTTTGTAATTCCGATTGAGGAACAGAATTCGATCCTTGTTTTCTGTAGATGAGAAACTCAAACAAAATGCATCAGTCATCGTTCTAACACATCAATTTGGGTAAAATCTTAAAAAGACTACCTTAGAAGCAATGCGCATTCTCTTAAACTGCAGATGATAGATATGGATGTTACTCCAAATGAATGCATACTATTTCTATGAAGTACACTTACCGAAAAATCCTTTCTCGATCATAGCACTGTTGTTGTAGCCGGGGCGCAGCAAAACTCTTTTAATGCCGCCTATCACCAGCGACAGCATCATTGGCGCATTGACCAAAAGCATTGAACCCCCACGGCCTGCAAGGAGTTTTAAGAGAGCTTTATGTACGCCAACAACGTTGCCAAGTATGATAACAATGTTAAACATCCGATCATACGTTCTAAAATGGCAATGAAGGAAAAGTTCTGTGGTAAAAAGCGGACTTTATGCACCTGCATAGTCTCGATTCATGATCATTCCAACATGGGACAGAACCTCCAATGGTGGAATTCTCATTAGTCCAATTCCCCACAAATCCATGATGATGTTTATTTGCTTAGCTGAAGCTTTGAAAAAATTCAATTCAGCGTACTCCAAATGAGAAACTGCACACAATACATTTTTTCTTATTAAGAATCCCTACAATTGTTCTGTAATTTCCGAAATAATAATTGAAGTGAAATGTCACCTTAAAATAATCCTCCATTTCTTCGTAGATAACCAGCATACAAATTTTGAATGAAAATATTCTTGTTGTTGTGTTCATTCTTTACATAAGCGACGAACTACTTTGATCGACGTGGCGATATCAGGAAAAGGTAAGGAATTTACTAATGACTGAGCTAATTGTTTGAAGCTCTTTCGGAGGCAATTTCTGTATAGCCTTTCCTAAAAGTATGTGTAGCGTCGGGTTGCCTCGACGACAATGACCGTGCCAGAAAACCAGCTCTCGCCAACGCAAAGAATTCAATTCATCTATACTCAGATACTTTTGATCTCCATGTTCATGTCGCCGCTGAGCCACACACGTAGGAGTTATCAGGAAAGATGCGCCTGAATAAATGAACAGCTACCTCGAATGTATCCTTAAGATCCCCAACCTCCTTGATACAGAGGTAGGTAGTAGACCAAGTATTGTAGAAGGCATTCAGATTGAATGAAATAAGATGCAGTAAAGAGGGTCAACATACCTCACGAAGAGAAATGCAAGTAGGGTGATCGGAGAAATGATGACAATCACTTGAAGGGTCAGAAAGAATCATCGCTGCACCACACTCCGCCGTCGTGGACAAAGAATGAGGCTGACATTTTGAAACACTGTCTTCACTGTTTATAGTCTGAAACGATTCTTCTCTATTTAGAATTACCACTGATTGATCGTCCAGACAGTCAGACCCCTGATGGCAGTGACCTGCATTCGGTTCTTGGGCAAGGACATGTTCATCTACGTCAATAGTCGATGCATCCGAATGAGCACTTCTCCAATTCTCCGACTTGTCTGAATTCGTATCCAACTCATAGACCTGCTGATACCCTAGATTTTCCAAGTCAGGTAAACTCATGGAGGTCTCAAAGAAACATTCCGATTCCACATCTGATGGACAGGCAGAAGACTTGAAGCTATGAAGGTAAGTTTTATGTTTTCCCAACAAAATGGATCTCAGTAGAGCTGAGTTTTCAGTTTCTTCCGGATGTCCTTCAATAGAGTTTGAAGAATCTGTTAGTGTATTCTGGCATCCAGGATTCGTTACCACTACCATTGGATTGCTTAGTTCTCCCCGCAAATTTGTATCTTCTGAATCTGCCTTCTGGTCGATTACGTCTTCAGTCTCAATAGTAACGAAGCCCTTTTCTACTTCAAAATCTGTCTTCAATTCTAATGAGGGTGCCGGAGCTCGAAGCTGGGCGTGTAACAATTTATCAAAACAATCCTTTGGCATCGAAAGAGCCGCATGAATAAGTTCTGCCAAGTGCACGATGTCTTCTCGGCTAGTCAGAACGGCTGACTTGTCTCTCACGTCGCGTCCTTTCTGAGCAAGATCTATCAAATGACCAATTCCCTCCTTCCAGTTCAAGGGTAGTTTATCATCTATCACAGCTTGATCTAAAGCTCCGCATGAATTGAGGCAGCAGGTTCCGCAAGGCCTTGAAAAACCAGAAGGTTCAATGTTAGAACCGCCCTGATTACAAGACGACGCGCAGCTACAACACCCTCGACCTCTTTGAAAACGACCCTGAAGCATTGTGAGGTCTACATCAGCTAAGCGCCCTGAATCTATCATATTGCGAAGCTCAAATATCAGAAGCAGCAGGTTTGCAGCAACAACGGAATTCGAAAGGGAACCGCAGAAGCGAATTGAAACTGTTGTAATGAGCTTCCCAGGCAGGTGCCACCAATTTTTCCTCTCCATAATTTTCTTGTGCGTTGGGCGACTACTACGCCTGAAACATGGTAAGGTGAATAGATGAGGAAGGAGAAGCCAAGGGAATCTGAAGAACATTATTCTTAGGACAACTGCACCCGCTAGACTGCCTAACAAAGTTCGCCGCCACCAACCACTTGGTTGTCGCTGCTGCATGTCATTCCGTCGCTCCCATGCCCTCGGTTCCCCAGTCTCGTCACCTTCGAGAAGGAGAAAAGAGGAGAAATCGACACCATTGGCCGCTAAATTTGGATTTAGTGAAGAGATCCCCAGACAGATTTGTTTTTGCAATTGGTTATGGCGACCTGGCCACTCCAAGGAATGATTCAAAGTAGGTCCTCTCGAAACCTTACATGAGAATGACGAACCTAACTCGCTTTCCATAGTGCCTTTGGCGCTGTCATTCCGCTTCAATTGCTTTTTACATTCATTATGTAATGTAGATAACACAGCACGTGCACGCCCTTGAATATCAGGCTTAGCTAAGACGTTGTGAAGACTTTTTGTTCCTAAGCAATTTGGAACCTGCTGCAAAGTAGAAAGGAAGGCAATGACGTTGTTTACATCCTTTAGATCTAATCGCGCCTCTTCTTGCGCTACCACATTTGCACTCTGTTCCCTGATGATCACTATCCTCTTATGCTTCCCCACAGCCAAATTTGAGGATACTGCAGAATTTTTACCCCTGCCGAGGGACAAGTTCCAAGTAAGTTTCCATGGCTTGTTCGTGCCCTGGGCTCCACACTCTTCATCCACGCCCAGAGACTTCTTCAGAGATTCACGATTACTCCTATCATGACAGTGCGAATGATTCCGGCTGCGGCCCCGATGCATGGTGCTATCGAACAACAGGAATTTCAAAGCATCCCGCTACCATCAGAAAACCACCGAATCATTTCGCTCTCTGGAAAAATCTCTGTAAACACAAGCACCCGCTGTGAATACCATAAAAAATGCAAGGCTTAAATAACCATTCTCCACGCCGATCCATCAGCTTCGGGAGCTTCACTTCGCATTGCACCGATCGAAGTATTCCACGATCATCTGTACAGTAGGAACACAATCCAGCATTGAAAAATTCAACACATCACGTGGTGCTTACAACACAAAAATTTCGATGCCCATGCGCGCGCGCATGCACACAAGCATAGTACGGGCGACAACATCAGCACTACTCTCGGCAACGCTCATACCAAGTCGCATCACGTGCCTCAAAAGTCACTGTCCAATCTCCCAAGAACCAAAATATCGCAGATCAAAAGCTGTATTGCGCTATTCCCCTCTGGACACATTCCTAAACCACTGCTAACAGAGAAAACGGAGCGAACAAAAATGCTCGCACTGATTATCACCCCTCTTACGCACGCAATTAGACCGCAACGCGAAGTTATAAACTAAAAAAACATCCACACAAACACACAAATAAAAAAAGAAAAGGAGACACCTCGGAGGAATGAAATCACATCACCGGGGTATCAAGCAAAAAAACCCGAGAACTCACGCGATCGCTCCAACAAACTACCGTGTGCTCAGTCTCACTAACTCGAATAACGAAACTCCTCGACCCCGCCACAAGCCGCTCAATAAAGTCTCTAAATAAACATCGAACTCACAGGAGAAAAAAAAAAAAAAAAAAAAAAAAAAACACATACACAAACCATAGACACACCGTAGAAAAAGGAGGCGGAAGTGGCAGATGGCAGGCATCGAGGCCAGAGCCCCTTCCTTGGAGCGCCAGTGCCTCTTCCCCTGGCTCATCACCAGCATCACTGCAGCAACACCAGCACAAGCACCACAAGCTCACAAAAGCACAAGCAGCACCTGTCCCGATCACCCCGCCCCGCCCCGGTCATGACGGTGATGGGTTGCCACGGGCGAAGGTATCTATGCGAGGAATGATACCCCACGGGCACTTTCCAGGCACATTCTCGGCATGTCCCCATGCAAAGCGGGAAGCCCTGCCGCCGCCCGTTGTTGTTCACCCGCGCCCGTGCCGTAACAAACGCGAAGTGCCGCGGACTAGGACGCGCGCGTCCTTTGCAGTGCCGCGTGGTCCCGGCACGGGTCGGGACGGGTCGCCCGGGGTGGCTAGAGGCTTGAGCACTCTTTATTCCACCTCATGAATATTGATTCTGATACTTAATCAAAGTTGCTTCTTCCTTTAAGAAATAATTTTAATGAATTTTTTTAAATAAACTGTTCAGTTGTATTTTCTGGGATTCTTTTTCTGGGATTATTTTTCTAAGTTTTCTGAAAATCTATTATCAAAATGTCTGTTTTTTTGAAAAATAAATTAGATAATGAGTGACTGTTTCTTTGAAAAATAAATTAAAAATAAATTAAAACCAAATACATCATGAATAATTTATATATATTTTCAGATTTTACCGATGTCTGACATAAGAACCCAACATTTCGAATATGTATATTAACATCAGCATTAATTTTTTGTATCTTAGTTGCAAGAAGAGAATCACTTTTTAAAGAAAGAAAATCTATACAAGTTGTTTCAAGAGAATAATCTCTTCTTATTTTCTGCTAAATTTTTTTGAACAGTTGATAGCCATGTTTTAAAATAAAATACTTTGACATGAAAAAAATTGTCACAAAAGATAATGTACAATACTATTATTGATTATGTACTCTATACAAAAGAATTTCTGATTAAAAATAATAATAATCTGAATATTTGACACTTTGAATTGAAAGTGTCTTTTTGAATATATATAAAATAAATAATTAAAAATATTTATATCAGAATTTTACCTATATATATATATATATATATATATGTAAAAATAATTATATATACATCAATATATTAAAAATTTATCAATTCTTTTGGATTAGAATTAATTAATTTTTTTATATATATAGAATGATATTATTATTATAAAAAAATCTAGTATATATTATTTTTATGTATTGATTTTTAATAATATAAACAAATAAATTTTTCAAATTTATATTCATCTATATATATATATATATATATATGATTATTTGTATACATATAATAAATAGTACAAGTATAGAATTTTGTAACTTTTAAAACTACTAAAAAAAGCATCCTACAACTTGTATGTTTGGCCAAAACTTCTTGTAGTCTTTAAGAAGTTTCTATACAGATTTTGTTAGCTATTAAGCCTGGATATGAAAATTGAAGCCATTTTTTAATCTTATCAACATCTTGCTTATATTCCATTCTTAATGCAAGTCTCTCTATTTTTATTTTTATTTTTACATATTTAATAATAACCAATGTAATTTCTTCTTCTTTTTTTCTTCATTTTTTCTCTTTTTTTCTTAATGGCATATTTTTATATATTATCTTTTTCCATATATAGCTTTATTAGATTCACATCCTTAAAATGTTAGTAAGACTAATATATAAAATGATAGAGTTTTATTCGTCTTAATAAATACTAGACACCTATTGTTTTTTTAATTTATTGAATGTTTTTGAAGATTTACTACTACACTCTTATAAATTGATATTTCTTATGTAAGACCACTTTCTTTTTTCCTTCTCTTGTTTGTATAGAAATTCTTAATTTATTAAACTAATGGCATGTTTAATCGAATTGAGGAATGTCATAGTAAACATGCATACACAAATAAAAGAATTGATGTTTCTTATGCACCCATTTTGTTTTGAACCTCAACCAATATTATAAATGATTAATTGTGATGATATAAATATATATATATATATATATATATATATATATATCCTTCAATAATTTTATGTATTTAAATTGTATGTAGAAACAAACTTATACCTATTAAAGAACAAAAAGTTGTTCTTCTAAAAATATTTAATAGTATTAAATCCAAGATTCTAAAATTTATAAATAAATTAAATTAAATTAAATTTCACCATTTAGTTATTTGATCTACAGATTTTGAGTTGGATTTAATAAGGCCTTACATAATCGATTCTTTTTTCTTTTTTCTTTTTTCTTTTCTTTCTCTCTTAGATCTTACTATTTTTAATCCTAGAATAGCTCCAAGAGTAGCTTCTAGGACCTATGTTTAAGATAACAAGACTTGATATTGCAAATCTTTTATAATGCAAATTTAAATGTTTTCATTATATTCTTTATATATAAATTTAGGAAATAAAAAATAAAAATTATGATTTTTAAAAGTAAAATGTGTTGAAAAAAACATGTTTTTATTTATCTACAATAGAAACCATGTTGTCAAATTTTTATACAATATCATCTTTTGAAAGTTTTTATTATTTTCTTAATCTTCAAAAAAACATTTTAGTACAAGTTTTATGGGATCCAAAAATCATATAATTTCTATATTTATTTTCTTAGCTTTAAGAGTATTTTTTTTGTTAATGAAATATTTTAAAAATTTCACAAGATACTAGTACAAAAATAAAAGTTTTATATAAAAATCATAGATATCCGACTGTTATTCCTATAAAATATTAAACCAATAAAATCATACCAGTAAAAATAGTTTTCAAAGGTCATGAAAGTTAAGTAAAATTTACTAATATAAAATTTTTAACTTATTTTTAAATTTAAATTTAATTTAGTTCAAAAATATAAAATATTAAATGTATTATAGTCTTGATATTTCAAAAAAATATAATAAAACATTATATATAATTTTCACTTATTAATTTTTTTTTTTACAAGTAGCAAAATAAATATGTTTTTTTTTATTCATACAACACATAGTATTTATTTTAAGTAAAATTTGTAGCTTTGTTTTGAAACATTTTAAACATTACAAAAAACTATATTTAAAAAAAAAATCAATAATTTTCCTAAATATTGACCTTATTATTATAAAATTATCTTTTGAGAAAAGATTCAACCAATATTTAGATCAATTTATAATTTTTTAAAAAATATATTGTAAACACCAATACTTTAATTTAATCTAAATTTTCTTCCATTCTTTTAGAATTAACATCCTTATCTAACGGAATCTCAATGAAAAAATTAATCTATTTTTTTTAAAATCAATTAAAATTTATTTAACTATTATTTTCTATTAATAGAATTAAATTATCCTAAATTATATTTTTATAAATTTCATATATAACATAAATATGAGTAATTTTAAAAAATTAAATGGAAGTATTTTTAATATTATTTTTAGTATTAAACTATCAATCAGAATACCACAGGATAAAGTTAGATGCTTAATAGAAAAACAAATATTCATACATATCCATCTTTTTTGGCAACATCTTTAATGTAGAATAATTTTTTTTAAATTCTACTTTATTTTTTATTTTTAAGAAATTACTCTATTTTGTCTTATAGTTTCTTTTCTCCATTTCAACCAAAGCCTTGGAACCTTAAATCATCTCAAATTCTCTCCATTTTCTCTTTAACTTTTATTTCTATCTTTCTTCTTCTGTTGTGTTTTTTTTGCATCCATTATTCTATTTGGCTAAAAAATAGTATTAGTAATACCTAAACTTATTTGTGCTATAAGACCTACATTGTATCACAATGGTTTAATAAAAAATCAATAGTGGCCATATTTATGTTGAATACAGATAATATATTTTAATTTAGATAGGAATTATATTATTTATTTTCTAAGAAATTTATTCAAATAAAACATAATCTTTGTAGAGAGTAAACTAAGTAGTTATAACTAAAAAATATAATACTTAATTAAATAGAAGTAAATTGAATTAAGATAAAAAAGTTTAGAAAAATAACAATAGTTTTATCAAGAAACATTAAACGAGTTTTCTAGATGTGGATTCGATTATTTTTTCAACTTTTCCTATGTATAAAATAAAAAATAAAAATAAAATCTAATTTATATATATATATATATATATATATATATATATATATATATATATATATATATATATAAAAGAAATATTTCTTTATATTTGATAATAGATATTCTATTTTTTATGATTGTTATATATATTTCTTTTAAATCAAATTTTCTTTTCAATGATATATGAGTGTATAGTTTTTTTAAATTTTTATTTATATATAAATTTATATCTTTTACAATAATCACAACTCAATGTCATTTTTTTTCTTTTTATAATTAATATATCATAAAGCTATTAAAAATTAGTTTGGGTCATTTTTTTTATAAACATGTATTCAAAAGTTTTATCTTGCAACTTTACTAGGAATTCTATCACTTACTATTTTTTCACAACCATTGACTATAAAACCATTTAAATACTATTATAAATTCATATAATTGATAATAGTTGGGTTTTATGTTAGATTTACTATTGTCTTAAGATTATAAGGTGTTAATATATGTTGAATTATGGTTTATAAGGTTGAATGTGGATGATTGGTACATCTTAATCTTATTTTCTTATTTGTACAACCATAGTCAAGTAATCGTATTGAATGAGGTTTTGTATTGATTTAGGCTTAATTTATTGTATGAGTAGATTGTAAAAAAAATGTTGAGAGTTGAAGATATTGATTTAACAAGTTTTTCTGTAGATATTTGGATATTGGTAATAATTTTTATCTTTGAGATTAAATAGAATGGTTGATTTTTTTTTTTCTTCTTTTTTTTTCTTGAATAAATATTCTCTGTTTGAGACTTTATTAAATTAATCCAAATATCCTTTTTAAATATAACTTACAATATTATTTAAATATATTTTTGATATAGACTAAAATAAAAAATATATATACAAAAGATTCTAGTTCTAATGTTGTACAATCCAATAGAGTCAACTTTCTACTATTCTATATTTTACATTTATCTATTATCCTTAAATTTTTCTTCTTTCTTATTTACTTGTATTGGAAGAGCAATGGAGATAATTAATTTCCTTTGAGAAGATATATTATGATTCTGTTTTTTTAAAATTATTATTTGAGTTAGTATATGGACCAATGTGATCTATATTCTTGGTGCACTTTTATTTTTAATATGTCATTAAAATATTTTGTAAACTATGCATTTTAAAATCAACTTAAGTTTGTAAGTTCTTTCATTGTATGGACTTTGTAAAAAACATATGTGCATCTAGTAGAAAAAAAATACAATCTGTATTTTACTTTTTCTTTTAAAAATAAAATTAATAATTCTAAAAGAGTATTTCCATCCTCTTCTAGAATCTATTGCTATATAGCAACAAGGATTTATGTTTACTTAGTTATTAACATCTTTTTCAAGAAATACACTAAGTTGATATGCTATAAAATTAATCACTATTTTTAATTCATTACTAAGTTATGTGAAAGTAATTTGAGTAAAGGCTCTAAGTTGCATTTGTGAGGGGATTGACGAAAAGAGATTAAAATCTCAAAGTCTTATCCTGCATGGCACATATATTAATGTTGGTTCTATAAGAATTAAGTAGCTGTAGTTTTTTTTTTTCTTAAATATAAAAAATATAAAAAATAAAGTAATTATTTCCAAGAAAAAATGCATTCTTGAATATAAACCAATGTTCTTATAGAAACTTTCAAATTATCATTCTAAAGCTATGATTTGAAATTTTGTTCTTACAAAATCAATAATTATCTCAAATTGTTGTAAATATTTTATCTCATGTTTGATACTTTCTGCATTACTCAGTTAAGATACAATTGCAATTACAAAGTAACAAACTATCAAAACATCTCAAACAACCAATTAAAAGCTCCTCATCCAAAATTTTGTTAAATAGATTAATTGAAGTTCCATCCATGTTGTTAGTCTAGTAGTACAGGCCCTCCTTTCTCTTGCTTGATCAAGAATTCAGAAATATAATATTTTGTTGCATGTATCCAAATGTTACATTGACATAATCTTTTGACATAATCTTTCTAGTGATGATTATATAAGATACTATTATATTCTACTATTCTTTATTTACACATATCATAGGATTCACTTATTAATTTTACAAACACACTACTCCCAAATTTGCTGGGCACAGAACGAATCAAAACTTACCTGAATTGTCATAACATGCTAAACCTTAATCTGAAATGTTAGTTTGGCATCTCACTTTCATCAAGGTGTTCCCTATCTGGGACAACTAATTCAATCCTAGTTGCAAAACGTTTGATCAGTGATGAGTACAGTCAAAACGGTTGTTTTGTTGTGATCCAAAAAACTGAATCCCTAGCTACTGTGGCCGAGGGTACTGGAGTGCGATGGTCACCCGAGACCATCAGATTCGCAGAGAGCCTGAGTAATATGAGCATTATGATTGTCAAAATGTGTAGTTTAGAGGTGATGGAAATGTTCGAAGAAGGTGGGGTACACGATTCAGATCGATTCTCCGCTTCCGTGTTTACAGTAAATCATTCCAATTGTGAGGCGTTACAGACGCCACATTACAATGCCATGTGTTACTCTTCTAGTCTTGAAGACTGGGTCCGACAACCCTTGAAGACTGTACTGCAGTTCTGAGTACAAAAAAAGATAGTCTTTGGTTGAACGTCAACAAACGAAATTTGGTTCGGAAGAGTAATTTGGGTGAGGCCTGCCAACCACAAAGAGGTTTATGCAAACGCTGCACTCGGCTTAAGACGGTGTGAGATCTTACATCGTTAAAAGGTGGAGCTGCTGTATAAGCTTTCGCTCATCCTTTTCCATTTCTTGTGGAGGTCTTGTGTTAAGTCTTGAATCGGTGAAGATCCCTATTATTGCTGACTGATGCAACATGCATCTCCATCCACTAGAATCCTGACTTTCTGTTCTGCGTTTAATCTTGATTCTTGGTGCAAACAAGCATACCACTAAAAATGGAAACAGAGTTCCGTTAGTAAGATTGCATTCTACAATATTCGTAAGTAAGTCTGTTAGTTGAATAAGAAAACATAGAAAAAGGATTTTCAGTTCCAAAACCTGACTAGTTTGAGAATACTTTTTTGAGCCCAACGGGTTTCGGATACTAAAGTTTTCATCGAATGTTCTTAGCCACCGACTTGCCTTTGAAGATTCTTTCCAGTTGTACGTATATCTACGTAACAAACGGCTTTGACAAACTCTTATCACTATTGATACCTATCTCGTAAGTTTGAAGTACAAATAAACACTCGCTGAAGTTACCCAAAATTGAGGCCTGATAAATGTATTTGTTTCTTGCATGATAGAAAAAACATATTTACAACAGAACTCCACAAAAGATATTCCATGCCTACAACTCTGTCCTTTTCAATAGTAAGCGCACCACGGTTTGATTTCAGAGTGAACGAGCCCGGCATATAATAGATTAACAAGAACTTTGAACACCGCCTGACTAGATCCATCATAATATACACCTGTTATGAACGGAAAAAAAGAAGAGAACCAACCTAAAACCACTCTTCAAATATTCTGAGTCCTCAACCCCTCGAACTCCACTTGGATCAAGGGCAACAACTTACTTTCTAGGAATTCCTTGTAGACCACCGGCTTTCGGGTTTAAAATTTGGGGCCAAGGAAACTGAAAGCGGTGACAAAGACGGGGATGTCCAGGGAGAGACAGAATTGACAGGTGTTACATTGTGAGTATTAGGTGCAGAAGACGGGGGTGAAGCAGAAATATCTCGCAGAGTACTCTCAACTACAGGGGAGACCATGGATGAAATCGTAGGCGTTGTATCTGATAAAGGGGACGCAGGGCTTCTCCTTCCTGGTGATTGCATGTTGAACTTAATCCTGCAGGCGTACCAAATGAAAAGTTAGACTAAGACATAAATACCACTTCTCGCAAATTTCAGGCACCAGAACAGCAGTTCAGAACCATTTTCCTGACATGATGGAAACGAAATGCAAGAATTGGAATGTGTATAAACCTGCACCTCCAGTACTTGTTGATCTAACGAGGCTCCTACGTGAGCACAACGGTTTGAATTGAAGTGAAGATAAACATTGAAGCAATCTGAATTTAGAGACTGGACATATATAAAACCAGAGAGAGAGAGAGAGAGAAAGTTACGTGTTGTGTTGTTCTACGTACTCGTCCGTTTCGTCAAAAATCTCCTCCTGATAAATGAAATAAAATAAAATAAAATAAAATAAAAAACACTCAAGATGATGAGAGTCAAAACACACACACACACACACACACACACACACACACTGATTTAACAATGACCAACTCTTTGTTCTGAAAATTCCTCCGTCAAATCATGCCCTCTAGATAAAGGTGATGTTTTAGATTATCGAAAACACAATAATGACATGAATGTGACGAACAAGTTGATGCATGGCGAGGAATTGGAAGAACTCCCACTAAGGAATTAGCCTGAGCAATGCCTTACCTGTAAGAGTTCTTCAATCAGGTCCTCCATAGTAATGATACCCACAACCTCCTCATCGTTTGCATAGCTTGGCAAAGATCCATCACGAATTTCTAAAACATCTCGATCCACAGAGCTAGCCCATTTCTTAGACTGCCGCTGTGGTAGAAGCTGACCCCGAGTAGCTTCGTCATTCAATTTGATGACGGGCGGTGGAATCGAAGTTAAAGATTGTATTCTCACGTTATTCCCCAAATCGTTCTCCCGAACTTCTTCAGGTATCTCAATTCTGGACTCAAGGTTTTGAGATCCCAAACCTGAATCTGGAGAACATGTTGGAACCACTTTAATTCTATTTTTTGAAATTAAAATCTGAAGCATACCAGGTCTAAACAGGAATGACGTTCCAAATACTATCAGAGCAAAGTTTTTCATTTCGGGGATGCACTTAACATGCGCTTCGCCTACACTGACGCAACAAAGAAGCGCTTACATCGAGATGACGTAGTATCACGTATCGATTTTGAATTGCGTAGAGTTCTGGGATGCCTGTTACTCTGTTGCCTGCCTTGTGAAAGTGACTCGGTCTTCTCCCTGTTGTACCTAACAACTGCTGCCATGTGACTATGACCCTTCTGAAATTCGTTTAGAATGTCGTACAATGGTACGCCCTCCGCAATCCTGAAATGTTAACAAATCAAAGACATCATTTTAGACATATGATCCCATTGCTAGAAGCATCTATAGACCCTGATCATGAGGGAATAAAACATACACCGAGCCGAAGTCTCATTAACTAAAAAATTAGGCCATCAGTTAGGTCGCATTCTAACTTCTGAAAGTGCCGCAACGAATACACGATCCGTGGCGGAAAATAACCAGAGAACCTTTCAATTACCTCGGAATTTTCCGGATTGTGCAACTTCGCACTGGAGTCTCGTCCTGAGGAGGTAGTGTCAACAAGTTCTTCACCTACACATAAAAATTCGGGTGATTATCATTTGGAGCGTAGTTCAAAAGTAAACGTCAGCAATGCTGCACAGTAGCTGCAAAAAAATCAAGGCACAAACGTCCCTTTAACTCTATGACTATTACAGTAGAAAAGTGAAATTCCACTACTTAAGTATGATGTCAACGACATGGTGCCGAGGAATTTTACGCACAAGTAGTAAACCAATAATGTTATTCTTATCTCCAGCATATACAGGTATTCTACTGTGCCCTTTGGCCATAATGGTCTTCATTGTTTCCCTGCACTACCATAAAGCACATGTCAAGAATAACTTTACAAATACCAAAAAACCATACAATTAAAATTTCCAACGCACAATCTAAATCACAAACGCTTACTCCGTAAAGGATAGTAACCATAAGTTCAAGATGTGAAATATTCCTAATTCTTGAAACTAAAACGTAATTATGGCGAAGAACTGGTGAAGTATAGAGGACTCGGTTCACTTCTTGAATCCTGATCTTGAAGTAACTAAGAAAGTTGAGGAGATTTTCATTTTATTTTTATATTATATTATTGACAAGGCAGAGGTTATCCCTGCGGAAGTTCTATGACATGGTTGTGGTTTTTCAGCTGGGATTTGAACTGCCAACCACTTTGGTGCTAATTTGCATACTTTGGTGGAAGTTAAAAACTAGAATGACCGTGACTCACATATCAAGTTTGTCATCGACATTCAATGCAAAAACATCCTTGATCGGAGTCATCGAGTGCTTAGCGGTCTTCTCGGTCAACTCCAGAGCTCCACCAATAATTAATGTTTCGTCACGGGTCAACTCTCCACCTCTACCAGCCTGAATAATCAACGCCCAAATGACATTCCACTAATGAATTTTTGTATGACCTAAAGACTTGCTGAGCAGAAAATTATTCTCTCTGAGAGGGACGACACAACTTTGAATGGACGAATCCCATTTCTATTCATAGCTCCTTTACATTTGATTGGGAATGCCATGACTGTAACCCTCGATCACACTCCAAATGAAGAGAGATCCCATCGCATTATTCTGGAGTTTCAGTCATTACACATGACATAGTGGAAAGAGACTACGTGAACGACCAACACAATTCCGTGATTTATTTTTCGCTAAGGATCAGCAGATCGAGAAAAAGAATCTTGTTTTCAAAGAAGTGGTTCCCCTAACCATATCAGCCCACTTCTGTAAAAAAATAATACAAAAATCAGGGTACCTCATCACCATGAAAATCCACGAGGGTCTTCAACTCAGAGCGCCGAAATAGAGACCCATGCTTTTTCCCAAGGATTGCATCTAGTAGCTGCACGACCAACAGAAATTGTAAGTACGTTTGATATCAAGAAAGCTACTGGTCAGACTTGCGTTGATGAGGTCTACCTTTGAGGAAAAAAATCTGCATCTCGATCCACTCTTTAAAATTCAGCCCAGTGAATGCCTGGTACATTGCACAACGATGTGAACGAAACTTAAGGTGTAACTACAAATCTCCATAAAACCCTTGACTTTGTCATGGCTGAGTTCTTTCAGCCAACGTGCTGGAAGCCTACAACCCAACAGGTTGTCGAGTACGGATAATTTGGGAATAGCCCACCTTGCTGATTGGATATGCGATTGGGAAGAAAACTACAAGAAGTAATCGAACAATTGGTGACGCTGCAGCTCCAACAGCTAATCCGTATCGTGAGCAAACTGCTTGGGGTATGATCTGCACTCAGCTACAACTCGTTAACACAACAACCATGTATTGATCACAACGGGCCCACCATGTAACTGCAATGTCACATACATCATAATTGTTTCCTGATTCAATCGTCCAGTGCCCACCTTATCAATTTTACATTTTTATTTTATTATTTTGTTGTTAAGAGATACTCCCTGTACTACAACCTGATAAATTATTCGCGATTTTATTTGTTTACAGGGTTCAGTGTACATGCTCCGACGTCAAGCAGTTGTAACAAGTTTCAAGGAAGGATTACTCATGGATGACACGTAACAAACCCAGCTTGGTTGATAATGTGAAAAAATAGATTTTCACGTTAAGATCCAAGAAGAAGCACAAGGATTAACTTTGTGGCCTTAGTCTTCTTAGGTCCAACACATTCAAGGCAGCTGCCCGAGACACTTCTTTACAGCCTGGGGAAATTAAAGGAGGTCTACCTCGCCGAATAAAAGAATCAAGGTTACAGAAATGAGGATAGCCCCCACCGCCGGGACCAACGAATCGAGGAAAATTGGGAGTGCCTGCAAACATCCAAGTTTTCAAAGACTGTTCAACAAAAGTTATCTCCATTCTAACCAGAACCTTTATGCACACATTCAATCTACACGAGATGATTGATATCCCACAACGCCCACATGTCTGATCACAATTTGATAACCCATAATCAAGTGACTACAGACTTCTATCGGAAGAAGCAAAATGCAATCTTCAGAACAAATGTGGACATTGCATTCAATAATAAGCTGGAGAGGCTATTTTTGAGAAGCTACGACACTTTAAACGCACCTCCATGGCCAGCGCATTTCCAATCAAAAGAGTGCAAAGCAGTAGATGCTGTCTTCTGACCACTGGAAGAATTTTACCTGAAGATAGAATCCAAAAAGATATTCAAAGTAGCGTCGATAAAATAATAAAAGAAAAGAAAAGAAAAGAAAAACAAGGCATCTATATCAAAAATACGATGAATATCCTCGTTGAAATTCACAAACAATGCAATCTTGTGCAAATCTGATCGTCAAGCTTGCAAGAAACATGTAAGCCGGTCGTAGACTTTCATGAAGCATACCGGCATGTTTCTGGTCAGCGGGCTTTCCAGACTTCTGAAGAACCTCAAGATCAACCAGGCTGAGCGACATCAGACCTAAAGTGAGACCAGACATCAAGCCAGCAAACAATACAAGTCCGATTATAATTAAAATGTATATATAGAACATCAGTGTTCCCGGCGCTTCGTGTGCCATCTTCCTGTTTAGGTCCTTTCTTGATCCTTCACTTGAAAAAACGCTCTAAGGAAAAAAAAGCTGGATTTCTTCTACTCACTCCAGCTGCTCGAAGTACTGAACAGAACTTTGCAGCGAAATATAAATAGTGAAGTCCAGATACCAGCGAATTATAATTTTGGTAAGATCTACGAGGGTATTAACACTTTTCCTGATGCTGGAGCTGTCTGGTATCAAACCCACATCAAATAAACCCTCATTTCCTTAATTACCCTCTAAAAAAATCTGATACAAAGAGAGAAACCGTTTAGAACCAGGATTCATCTTCAGAAGAGTCAGTACACGGAATATTTCCATCACTCTGTCCCCAAGGTAAGTCGACATTTGGGTTTAATTTAAAGTCTGGCTCGTCCACCTTGAATGCTAGGCGAGATCAATAGCCCTTCGCTTCAAAAATGACCCAAAGATTATGTAAATGCAGCATCACAACAAAAGAACTGCGCCAAACAGGGCACCGTCAACCAAAAACCACCATCTGTTCTAACATCTCAAGATGTCGTCGAGGTAAGACTCGATTGTTCCTCAAGTCCTGCGATTGCAACATACAACAAGAATTTAGAATGAACAATCCTAGGCGTATTCCTCCCACAAAAAATCAAACTCCAAAGCATCGCTCGAGGTCAACAAACGATAACACTTCGGCAACCCACCCATGGAATTCACGCCAGAAAAACTTAGTAAATAATAATTGTAATAATGACAAAAACAACACATAGATAGATAGATATTCGTCTACAGTTAAAAAACCCCGCTGAGTTCTAAATCCATCAGAAACAAGAGAATATGCAAAATAGTTGTTTAATAAAGGAAAGGATACAAAAGATACTCATCAAAAAATTCCGAAAAGGTAGACACCAGCACGATTACCGAATGTGCAGCACAGTGTCCCCCACATGAACAATTCAGTATTCGAAGACAATTACCACCACTCCACAAACCAGACGAAACCAAACACGACAGGTTCCCCGATTCTGTCATCGTAAGCCTGGGCAGCATTGCCCCACAAAGCTCTAGAAAACGTGCTAAATAAACCTACAGCATCCTGAAAGTTGCAAGTTACACAGCCAAAGTAACCAAAGTAACCAAAGTAACCAGAGTAACCAGAGTCGAAGTCGATAACAACAAACTTTCTACAGTGCAACCCAATCGATCACTTCCACACCAACTTCAGGCTCTTTGGACCACTAAACAACTCCTACCCCATTACCTCCAAAAATACAATCGATCGCCGCACCTCCTTCGCAATTCTCAAACCAAGCACGCACCACAGTGGACACGCCGCGGGCTTTATCCAAGTGAAGTGTCCCGAAATTCCACAACAACAACACACCAAAGCCTGTATCCTAAACCACTTCGCATGGAACCAGGAGAAGTTGTCGTCAAATTTCGAATTCCAGACTAACACACAACGCTGTTCAGAAACCTACTTGCAAAAGCGACACTACACATGCAGAGGAGTCGAAGTGCACTCTGGGAGTGCGGAGTGCCGTAGTTGTGCATAAAGAGACATGACGTACCAGTTTAAGGCCAGGACTGGAAACGAGTTAAAAAAGAAGTTGTGAAAAAACAGCGCAACTCGTCAGCTCACGAAGAGTGCTGCCGAGTTTAATGTTCAATCGCAACGGGCTGCCGTGAGATGGTGGCGGACTCGGCTCTGAAAGGCGTGCAGAATGTTCGTGAGTTGATGCAAAAACAGTGCGAGTTCAGAAAGACACAGAAGTGAAAGAGAGGAAAAGAGGAGAAGGCGGCGAGGTATAATTCATCCATTCCTGGGAACTACATTCATTCGTTGACGACCCATTCATCTCAGTACTCTCTTTGCCACGGGTACCCATCACCGTGGTAGTGGGTCCCTGGTCTACATTCAGCGAATGCACATGGACGCCGTGACCACGGCGTTAGGGCCATGCTGACTGTTCCTCATTATTCCACTTTCGCCACGCACAGTCTTCTCTGGCAATAGGCCCCACATTCTTTTCACCGTGATCTGAGTCCCTGCCATAGCAAGGAATGTGGGGATTCTCCCAGGATTCTCCACCTGGGGAATGGCCCCTATGGCAGCTCTGAGGTAGAAAGAATGTGGATTCAGGAATGCTAACCTCACATCAAATGACTTAACAATTTCCACATTTTGCACCACATTGTACTTTCAAAGGTAGCCATGCCAATGTTTGCTTTTTTCTCACAATTGTGTGATGTTCTTTGCAAGCGCCTTACCACATCAACACAAATTGGCTTTTGGGAAAAAAAATATATATGTATTTTTCTTCTTTTTGTGGATATGTATGTTGAGTCACAAGTGTGTGGTGCAAGAGTGAGGTTGTGCTCATTTGCACATGGTCTTGCATGTCTTTGCGTGGAAGTGTGGTTGTGTGGTGTGGAAAAATTCCTTTGCTTTTGCTTTTCTATTGTTATCTTTATGTCTTTTTTTTCATTTTTTTTCATTTTTTTTTTTTCCTTTTATCTTTTTTTTTCTTGTAACTGTGAATTGGAGACAACAGATCATGCATCAATTGTCATTGTGCACAGCACAAGGGAGTAAAAGGAATTTGTGTGTGTGTGGGGTGGGTGCCAGAGTGGTGGTATATGGGTATTTAGAAGTTATTGTTTGCAGGGAGCTTTCTCTTGTTTTGGTTTTTCTTCTTCTCTTGGTTCACAAAATAGTGCATGACATCTTCAAATTTAATTCATATATATATATATATATATAGATAGGAATGTTAAATAGAACCATGCTTTTAGTAAATAGATCCACCCTTGATGAAGAATATGGTAATTATAATGAATGTGGTTGGTTTTTATTGATTGCAAATCCAGTAATGGGAAAAAGAATTTAGAAATCATTATTTTTACAAGAAAAAAAGAAAAAAAGAAAATCGAAGTTGAAAGAATTGCAAGAATTTGGGATTCTGATATTTAAGAATGTTTAGAAGTGCTACAAGTGAGGTGACTGTGACACATGTGAAATAATCATATCATTCGACTTTCTCTTAAAGGATTTTTTTTTTTTTTTTTTTTTTTATACATTGGATTCTTATATTTAGTATGTTTTATGGAACAGTCATGACTAGAGCCATGCATTGATTGCTTTTGAATTCTTAGGTTTAGAAAATTGTAGAATGTTAAAGATGACATCAGTAGAAGCCTATTCATCCGTCCACTCTGGGACGGAGTTGATGCTTCATGATGTGCACTTGTACCACACCTACTTGAGGATTAACTTAAGAAATTCATGAAAATCGTAAAGAATGTCATTTTCAAATCCCTTGATTTCTGCAAAAGTGACCAAAGAGAATATGAATTAGAAAGTTTAATTTTAGACTTTTATATACTTTGTTCACTATTACAGTACCCACATTTCACAGTTTGAAAATATCATTATGATCTTGTCATTGTGGGTTAAAGCTCTATATAGTATTCTAGATGCTACAAGAGTTTTATATTCGTACTGTTTGCATAAAATAGTTGAACATGCAATGCTCCATTAGTCTCCATCCCTAAACATCACACCGGATTTAATGAAATAAGTTACATTTTTTATTTATATTTTTATTGCAAGGCACTGGCAAGCTCCAGCCTATGCAGCAACAGGACAGGACAAACAAATAAACAAAGTGGGGGGGGGGGTAGAGAAGGACAGTACGTGGCAGGCACTGCCTCCAATTCTCTTCCACAGATGCAGATCTCCGTACAAAACAGGTGTAAGTGTAGGGATTGTAAAATCTCTGAAGGACAGGCTGTCTAGTGCTAACAAGTGGAGCAATATTGTCCCATTCACCAGTCTACTTAACTCGCTGGTGACTCTATGCCTTCAGAATATCAATGTTTCTGCCACGTAGGCAGCGGAGATATGTTATCTTACATATCCTGACAATCATGGCCATCACCACAGATAGCCCCGCATTCCACACCCAAAACAGACATTGTAGGACAGAAATGCTCCTTGCAAACCCCATTCGAAGCCAGGAATCCCTGTGTACACTTCGGAATGTTTCTGATTATACAGAAGCCTTGAAATGCTGGATGCTGATAGACATTGGGGGGATGATACTGGAATTGTCAATGATTTTGGGTTAAAACAGAGAATTGGATATTGACTTGTAAGATGCATAAGCAAGCCCTCTCATTGGCCAAAGAGGTACATGCATTTGAGATGAAGTCTTCATGGAGTTTATTTATTTATTTATTTTTCTTTTGACATCACTAGAGTAATCTTGGTTCCTTAGGGGCACTTTTTATATTTAGTAACCCACTTAAAAAGATCATGGCTCTGTTGAGAATGTTTAGAAAGACACAAGAGTAATAGTAAGTCATACACATACTCAAGAGTAGTAGTAAGACATACACACAAGAGGGTTTCTAAGGAGAAAGAGCTTCACACATAAAAATCTATTGATCTGGTTGTGTCTCGTATACAAGAAGAGAAAAAGGGAGAGGATAAACAATACTTCTCCACTAGACTCTAAATACTCTACCTTTTGTATTTACTGTACTCTATAGTAAATATTATAGAGAGCGTTGGCTACATTTAATGATCTCAACACTCCTCCTCGCTCATCATAATATTTACATAATATAAAATTTTTATAGAATTATGATCTATACTTTTTTGTGATCTTGCAAGATCAACAATTGTTGCCTCATTAAAACCTTATCTAAGAAAACCTTATTGTATTTAAGGACAAAACCATAGATGAAGGAAAAAGAGTACAACATCATTTTCCTTAATTATTTAAAGAGCTTATTAACTTTTTTATTCAAGAAAAGCAAGTCGCTGCATATCAATGCCATAAGTAAGTCGACGATGGTTGCGCAATGGAAGAGCTTTAGTGAAGAGACTAACAAGGTTATTTGTAGAATCAATTTTCTTAATTATAAGTGCTTGATCAGTAATCAAGTCAAAGATATAACTAAAATGCTTTGGATCAATATGCTTTGTCTTGTTGCCTTTAATGAAACCAACTTGCATCTATACAATACAAGTATTGTTATCTTCATACAAGATAGTTAGAGAATCATCATATGAAAATCCACATGTTGTTTGAATGAATTTATCAATTGATCGCAACCAAATACATTCTCAAGATGCTTCATGTAAGGCAATAATTTTTACATAGTTAGATCAAGTTGCAGTTATTGTTTGTTTCACTGATTTCTATGATATTGCAGCTCCATGTCTTAAAAATACATATCTTCTTTGAAATTTATCTGTTGCAGTATCAGATTTATATCCTACATCAGAATGTCCAACTAATTCTGGATCTGCGGATTGTGTGTAGTATAATCCCAAGTCTTCAGTACCTTTTAAATAAAGTAATAAATATTTGATGCCATTCCAATGTCGTAGTGTTGGACGTGCACTATGTCTTGCAAAAAGACTAACTGCAAATGCAATATTAGATCTTGTAGTTGTAGCTAATGTCAAGAACAAGAACTTGATGAAAAAACAATCCAGACAAGTGAGCCTTCACTCAAAGAAAGGTAACAAAATATAAATAAATAAGTATGTATATTAAAAGAGAAACTAGAATGACTATTGCCAAAAGACAAGAAAACTAGAGACCCTTGAAACTAGACTAGAAACAAGAAAGAAGTTGATAAGAGTGAAGAAGCCTTCACTCTTGTCTCTATATATACTATCTAATTAAAGGCTACATGGCGACGTTCTATAGGACCTCCAATATGTGTTGACTTTGTAGGACACATGCCTTGACTTACAAGGCAAGTTTTTCTACGTGTGGGCGACATAGTTAGCTTGATCTTCAAGCTAACAACATGTGTGGCACATGGCCAACTTGTTGACCACGTTTCTAATCCAAAAAGTCAATTAAAGACACCTATGAAGTCAAAGCAGCGTCTATGAAGCTTCTAGGAAGCTTCGATATTAAATACTGTAGAATTAATTTACTTTTACATACTTTTATTTATTTCTACCTATTTGTATATGTAATTACTAGCTTATATGATTATGTCCATGACATTACCCCCCTTTCTAGGGACGAGTTCCATGAAGAGCGGTCATCATATGTTGAAGAATTCTATGATGCGACGAATTATATTTGCCACATATTCTGATCTTTGTTCTCTTCGAAGATGATTGATAGGGCCTCTCAACCATCGGTAGTGTCCCATACCAGGGTGGGAAGACCACCCAGTTATTTGATCATTGTTGAGGCCTTCATAACTCCCTTCGAATAGAACATTTGGAACACCATCAGGAATTGTTCCTACCTCTAGCAAAATCACCAAACATTGAGAGTCCCTTCCCAAATCGTGATACCAAATGCGTTGTATCTCGCCATCTATTCGAGAAAGAACATGTCGTTCTTGAAGATCTTCATCTCGATTGCGTCGTCTTGAAGGTTGTGACAATCATAATGTCTCGTCCGACAGGTCAACAAATGGATGCTCTTGAGTCGAATCCATTAGTTGTTGGTTCTCCATTTCCTGAACGTCACAACTACAAAGAAGCTACGAACAAGGATTGAAAGTAGAATGTTATCTTGACTAGATGTTGTTTCTTTTATAAAGAAGATTTTTATCTTGATTTTGATAGATGTCATCGATAAAAAGCCTCCACCGCCTTTGCTGTATTTGCAAGATTCTTTATTGGCTCCCATGTATGTTCACTAATACCATATCCGCGCCAATAGACAAGATATTTCAATTTATTTTGGCGTCGCCTTGAATCTAATTTTTCTTCTACTTCAAACT